GTTAAAGGATCGATGATCATTAACTCAATGTTAATATGCTTAGTGATCACTTTCTTTTCTTTTACTTTTTCTCTAATAGTTAAGTACTTAATGTCGATATGCTTGCTTTGACTTCCACTTTTGTTGTTCTTAGCCATGAAGACAACAACTAAATTATTGTAGAAAATTCTCAATGACCTAGAAAATTGAATCAACAATTCTAAGCTCAAAAATGAAACTCTTAAGCCAGACACTATAAAAAGTAGCAAAAAAAAAAAAACACAAACTCAGCTTCCATTCTAGAAGTAGTAACCAAGGTTTGCTTAACACTTCCCTAAGAAATAGCTCCATCGGCCATCATGAAAATGTACCATGATGTTGATTTGCGAGAATCAACACACCTGGCAAAATCAAAATCTAAATAGTCAATCACATCTAGATTGTCTATCTTCCTATACATAAACATGTAGTCTTTAGTTCCTTGAAGGTACCTCATCACCTTCTCGTAGCTCTCCAATGATCAATACCTGGATTACTCTAATATCTTCCTAACATTCCAATAGCAAATGCAATGTCAGGCTTTGTGCATATCTGAGCATACATAAGGCTCCTAAAAATAGAATCATAGGCCAAATGAAGAAATTATCGCATGAAATTTAAGATACCATTGACGGAAGGCTTGTTTAAACCATATATGAACCTTTTAAACCTACAAACCAAATGCTCACTTCCTAGAGGAGAAACCTTGGTTGTTTCATATAAACTTCTTCCTCTAAATAACCATTAAAAAATATTTTCACATCCATTTGTTGCAACTCAAGGGAAAAATAAGCAACTAATGCTAATATAACACATAGAAAATCTTTCTTAGAAATGGGAGAAAAGGTCTTTGTATAATCGATTTCTTCTATTTTAGTAAACTCTTTAGAAACGAGACTTGCTTTATATCTTTCAATGTTTCCTAATGAGTCCTTCTTGGTCTTAAAGACCCATTCACGATCAATGACCCTTACTCCATTAGGCAACTCCACAAGATCCCAAACTTTGTTGTTTTGCATGGAATTCATCTCATCCTTCATGGTAGCATACCATAAATTCGCCTCTCTACAACTCATGGCTTGTGTGAAATTTTCAGGATCATTTTCAACTCCGATGTTATAATCAAATTCTTATGGATACACAATGTAATCATTAGGAATAGCTAATTTCCTTATCCTTGTAGATCTCCTCATTTATGAATCAACAATTTCATCTAGATCATGTTGTTCAACTAGTTGTTCATCATTTCCTTGCATTTGATGATCAATTTGATCTACTAGATTATCATCAACAATTTGCGGATCGCTATGATTGGTTGTTCAACGTCTATTTGAATTTAAAGAGTTTTATGAATGACAACCAATCTATCACTCAATGTGAAATGTTTAGATATTGTATGATCATATTTATAAACTAAGTTCCTAGTTTGATCACTCCCACTAATCAAGTCATTTTCAAGAAATTTGGCATTTCTTGATTCCACAGTCCTAGTAGTATGAGATGGACAATAAAACTTATAACCTTTAGACCTTTTGGCATAACTAATGAAATACCCACTAGTGGTCATAGGGTCTAGTTTTTTCTATTGTGAATTATATATCCTTACCTCAGTCGAACATCCCCAAATGTGCATATGTCTCAAACTTGGTTTCCAACCTTTAAATAACTCAAAAGGCATCTTTAGAACAACCTTGGTTGGAACTTGATTTAATATATACACGATTGTATTTAGTGCTTTGCTCCATAAGAATCTAGGAAGATTAGAGTTGTTAATCATACCCGTCACCAGTCCAATAATGTTCAGTTCCTTATTTTTGTAATACCATTCTAGTTTTGGGAACCAAGCATAGTGTATTGGGAAATAATCCCATATGCTTGAAGAAACTTAGCAAAAGGACCAGGTGTTTGCCCACTTTTGGTATATCTACCATAATATTCTCCACCTTTATCTGACCCTGCTATTTTTATTTGCTTTTCGTGTTGGTTCTCAACTTCAACATTAAAGACTTTAAAGGTATCCAATGCGCAAATAAACATATATATATATATAGATCGTGAGTAAAATCATCTATAAAACATGAATTACTTTTTACCATGTGCATCCATATCTGGACAACATATATCGGTGCAAATTATTCAAAATATGTTTGAACTCTTTGTAGCACCTTTCTTAGACATGTTGGTTTGTTTTCCCTTAATACAATCCCCACAAGTCTCATAGTCAATAAAATCAAGAGTATTAAGCATTCCATCTTTTACTAACCTTTTAATTCTCTCAATGGAGATGTATTCTAAGCTTTGATGCCATAGCATAGAGGAATTCTCATTAATATTACATTGCTCAACATCAGTGTGAACATGTATTGAACTATTAGAGGTTTCATGTTGCAAACAAAGTTGATAAAGACCATTAGACAATATATGATTTCAAACACATTCATTATTATAGTATAAGCTAAAAGATGTGTTCATGAAACAAAAGGAATATCCAAATGGTACAAGTCTAGAAACAAAAATCTAAGTTTTAAGAAAAACTTGGTACAAAGAAAGTCCTTTCTAATTTCAAATTAAAATCATTATTCAAAGTTAAAATGCAAGTTCCAACAACCTTCATGGTTGAACTCATCTTGTTTCCTAATAAGATGCTTTGCTCACTTTCCATTGGTTTCTTTAGGTTTTGCATACATTGTAAAGAGTTTACAACATAAATCCAAAATCAATCCACGAGGTGCTAATATTAATGGTAGTCATATTAGATTCACGGCAAACAAATGAGATTGAATTACCTTTGTTCTCAAATCATTTATGAAATTTAAGACAATCTTAACAACCTTTTTAAATAACCTTGGCATGAAGAAAGGCACCCTCACTCAACTTCATTACCAACCTTTCTTCCTCCTGAACACACATGTTTATTAACTCATTAATTGACCATTTGTCCTTATATGTGTTGCGGGAAATCTTGAAAGGTCCATATTCTTGTGAAAG